ATATATATATAGTGAAGTATATAGTTATGATACCTAAGTGAATTCACTATATATATATATAGTGAAGTATATAGTTATGATACCAAAGTGAATTCACTATATATATATATATATATATATATATATATATATATATAGTGAAGTATGTGTTAAGCTTGTAACTTACCTTACGAAAGGACTACGATCACGGAAGTAACTCAAATAGGTCTCATCTCGATACATATATCGTAAATCGTTTTTGCATCCAACCAATAGGACAGGTGTTTGTGGACAAAATCGACGTATTTCTGGATACCACATTGCTTTGCAATTTCGTAAAGATACAGGATTTGTTATGGAGAAACATAATAAAACCACATCAGATCTGTACAAAAATTTAATATCAAATATTAATATATTTTTAAACAAATGTTATACCTCTTGTTAGTACTTTTAAAGAATCTTAACTTTTGTTAATAAATATTTTGAATCAAACAAATGTAAGTCAAACATAAATGTCTCATCAAATTTTCTATTAAATAAATAATATATGTCAAAGGGTTTAATATTTTATTTTTGAGTTAGTGAAAATTGTTTGTAAAGGGCTAACCTGCCGTAGGCAAATCGACGATCCTTTTCGTGATCCCCAAATGTATCCCAAAGGCGTAATGAAACGTTGACGTTGTCTACAACTTCCCACGATCGTTCCAATACCTAAAAATAATAATTATAATAATAATGGAGGTTCATAAAATATATTTTAATATAAAATTATATAATATATATAAAATAAATAAAAATAAATAATTAATCATATATTATTTATATTATATTGGGATCACTGGCAGGGTCGTGGCGTAGCAATTCGACCTATCTACTCTAATTTTGAATTTAGCCACCAGATAGCGTATTCAAGTGNTAGCGTATTCAAGTGCTAGAGATCCTACGTGGTGTAGCAATTTGACGTATCTACTCTAATTTTGAATTTAGCCACCAGATAGCGTATTCAAGTGCCAGAGATCCCAATATAATTACTAGGATACTCTATTTATTATAATTTTAAATTATTTAATAAATTATTACAACACACAAAATAATATCCTAACTAGTATGAAATAAATCAAATAGATATTTTTGTAAACAAATTCATACTTTTATTTAATTTTATAAATTTACTAAGATGGTAGGTGTGGCTTTGTTATAAAATATTGATTGAATATAATTCTAAGCTATTTAATAAATTATAATAACACACAAAATAATAATAATACACGATAAAATATAAAAAGTAAGGTTAATTATGTTATATGTAAGATCAAAATAATTGAATTGTAGTACAACGCCATCTACTAAAAACTTGCAGACCTAGATAACCTTTAAATAACAAATCTTTAAATTAGTAATAAAAAATAAATAATAATCGCGATACAAAACTATCTTGTGTACTAAATTTAAAAAAAAACACACACACACACACTGCTACAATTAGAATAGAATAATACATAAAATAATACTACATCAAAAAATATATAAAAAGTAAGGTTAGGTATGTCATATAAAAATCTAAAAATAATCTGAAAAAAACCTGAAATAATTAAATTGCAATACACCGCCATCTATTGAAAATTTACAGTACCTAAAAACTTAGATAACTTATAAATAATAAATTCTTTAAATTAACAATAAAAAATACAAAATAATTGCAATAAAAACTATCAACTTGTATCAAAACAATCACCAACTTGTACCAAATTAAAAACAAATCACAAAAAATAAAATAAAATTTCATTAAAATCAGTTAATTAATTCCAAACTTCATTGGAAACCAGCAATGTTACATACTGTATTTTTATATATAAATATTATAATATCTGTATAAAAAAAAAATATATAATGTTATTATACTTACATCTTTATAAATTCGATACTGATCAATAGCCCATACTGTTGGTACATGAGTAGTCAACAATTGTGAAAGAGAAACATGTTTGTTGCAAGCTCTAGCACATATCAATCTGGTCTTTCCGACTGCAGTGTCACCCACGACCACGCACTTGACCAGTTCCTGGTGCGGCTGCTCATTGTCCATCACCGGCAATCTCCCTTTTTCATCCAATATCCTTTTTCACGTGCCAGATCGTCCGAATACGGAGAAATCGTAAATTTAGGTGTCACCGATACTTCTCTGATTAACCAACACGAACACCACATTCGATTTTCGACCTACTGTCGATCCAAATCTTCCTTCTTTTTTGTAAGATTGTTTATTCGTCAAATTATCTATACATAAAACATAACAACAAGAAAAATATCAAATATATATTATTATGTGTTCATTTGTAGATAATATATAAATTCATTATCTAGATAATGTGCAAATTAACTAAGGTGATTCGTTAAAGTGTTGAAAATTGTTCAATTTCTTAAATTATTTAAATAATAATATAATAATAATATAATATTATATATTATTATTATTTATTAATATTTAAATTTAATTATTTATATATTAATATTATTTGGTAATATTTTTAATATATTAATTGAGTAATTATAATTTTTGTAATATATAATTTTAATAATGTGGTGATATTTAATAATATTAATTTTATATTAATAATATTATTTAATATAATAATAATATTATCCAAATTATATTTTTATTATATTTTAATTATTAAATATATTTATATATTACCATATTGTTATTTATTAAATTTAATTTGTAATAATTTAATCACTAATATTATATTAATATAATATTATATATTTACATAATATTATTATATTAATAATATTATTATCTAAATAATTAAAATATAATAAAAATATAAAAATAACATTATTAATACAAATAAGAAACCAAATTTGCAAAAAATATCATTAAATTACTTTTACTTTAATAATATAACCTATAAATTAGTAACACACTTTGAATTACATAACAATTTGATTTTCCAAACTTTAAAGTTACTAAATTAATATTACAACTATCCTACCTATTTAATTCTTTAAAGAGAATAAAATATATAATTACAATAAATTAACAATTATATGATATTAATTAATTTTGATATAATATAATATACTCACAATTATAATAATAATAATAATAATAATAATAATAATAATAATACATGAATACATTAATACTCAAAATAATTGAAATAAAACGTAAGAAAATTGTCGTGCATCTGATCAGGAAGAATCAGAGTTAACTAATAAAATCTTAATAGAAGAACATTTGGAAAATATTTTGGGAAATATTTTGGGAAATTGAAATACGAGTATTAGCCAGTTTTGATAACTGGCACAATCCGATTCACTTAGCACGTGAATTAGCAAAATTCAAACGTAAGATTCGTCAACGGAAAATAACCAATCCAAAACGTGGATATTTTAGGCACGATTCAACGGATTTACATTTAAACACTGTGTTGTAGTAGTAGTAGTAGTAGTGTGCATATAAACCAGGTATGCCTATTGATTTCGTTACCTTCATACTTTACATACCCCCTTCTACTCCCTCCCAGTACTTTTTAGTATGTGTGTGTGTGTGTGTGTGTGTGTGTCTCGATTTTCTTATATATTTAGAATCGAACCCTTAGCAAACTTAAATCACCTTAACCCTGAAAGACAACACTCGTACTTGGTGTACGGCCTATTCGATTTTTTTTTTATTTTTTTTATTTTTTTTTTTCTATAGATAGAAAGTTCGGACATGTGTATGGGTGTAGATATGTGTGAGAGTGCGTATATGTTGAAAAAAGTAATATCGTAAGCTTGGTTTAACAAATATTGAATGTTGGTTAAAGTGATACTCTTAAATGGAAAGTAAAAATAATTATATTTAAATGGTTATTTCAAAAATATTTATTTTATATTCAAAGTTATTTCATTTAGCAATAGTATTTATATATATATAATATATATATATATAATTATATTATTATTATACATATATTATAATAAAATATAATATAACTAGGGGTGTCCCGCCATGCGTTGCTGTGACTCACAATCAGTCCGATACACACGTCCTTAAGTCAATTTATAATTATTGCGATTATAAATTAAGATATAAACTATCCTATCTTTCAAGTTGGATGAAACTGTATACAGTGTGCAAAATTTGATTAAAATCGGTTCAGTAGTTTAGGAGTCCATTGCGGACAAACAATACGACATGTAATTTATATATATTAAGATATCAATTCAGTTATTTCATTTAGCAATAATATATATATATATATATATATATATATATATATATATATTATATTTAAATTAAATTAATATTTTAATAAAATATATATTAATTATGATATGTTTATTAATTATTATATTAATTATTATATTAATTATATATAGTTTATAGAGTTTATATTAATTATTATATTAATTATTATATTAATTATATATATTAATTATTATAATATATGATATACATTAAATATATTAATATAATATTTTCTGTAATATATATTAAATATTATATTTTAATTAATATAATTTAGTATATTATAATATATTAAATTAATTATATATATATATATATATATATATTGAATAAAAGTATTATAATATACCTAAATAAAATAATATTATAATATATATAATATATATTACACACAATATTAATTTAAATATTAAAGATATCTAAATTGTTCGAATATTTATTTTCCTTATTTTTTTTTTTGTTAATTTTTATTTAATATTATATGCATTATTATTATTATTATTATCATTATTATTATTATTATTATTAATATCATATACATATTAATGTTTAACATGACGCATCTTTGTATCATAAATTTACTCAAGAATTGGATCACACTGGATGCTTAACATTCATGTCGAACTTATCGATTATTAAAAGTTAGAAAATAAATTTCCGGTGTCTATTAATAAACTTAAATACTTCGTTCATTTTCTACGATCATACATCATATCCTTAAAAGAATGAAATAAAGAGATAGTTAGTTAGATAAATAGATTGATAAAATATGTTAATGTATCATCAAAGATTAAAAAAAAAAAAAAAAAACAGATTATGACTCAACCTCGTCTAAGTTTTTTTTTTTTATCAGACAAACAGATCTTCGTACACCTATCATGTAATCTCATATTTATCATCATCAAACTCTGTGAATAATCAAAGTAATAATATCGTAGAAAAGTTTCATGAATTAGGCCAGTCCAAGGACGAGAATGAAACTAAATAAAAAAAAAAAAAAAATGAGAAAAAAAAAAGTAAAATAAAATAATCACACTCGCGTGTCTTATTATTCACCGATTAGATCACAATTATGATTTATATTAATAATAATAATAATAATAAAAATAACAGTAATGATACAAAAAAAAAAAAAAAAAAAAAAAAGAAAAAGTAAAAAGTAGAATCATTTAACGTGTGTAATCTTTCGTTATCATTTTTTTTTTTCTAACACATGTAAAATCAAAAAAAAAAAAAAATTAATAATGAATAATTTTTATCTCAATGTATTTATATAATAACAAATAGAAATATTTTCGATGAGATAAACCGTAAAAGGTAAGAGCTAGGAGAGAGCTGTTTCCATCCACGTTTATCAAGCAAACCCCCTTTTATCGATTTTCAACCACGTCAGGATTACGTGGCAAACTGCGTTTTTCGTCCTTGTCGTTGGTTATACACATATTGCGGAAACTTCACGGGGTCGAAAAGTGTGCGACACCACGTATACAAGACATTTATACTATGCTACTGTGTTAACCAATTATGATCATATGTGATGATTGTATTTTTGTGTGTTTTTCATTTCATTTCATTCCGTTTAAGAAAGAGAACATTCAAGAAAGAAAACAAAATGTTAATTACAAAACTGGACATTATTATTTTGTTATTATTATTTGTTATTAATCATTGTCTTCTTAGATTCTTTAAAATGAATGGTTGTTGATGCTGTTACTGTGCTGCTTTGGTTTGGTTGTTGTGTGGATATGCTCCGATTTGACCTACTTTTCTACGCACACGTTTTCAATTTCCGTATAGAACTATTTACACACATATACATATACATATATATATATATATATATATACACACTGACACAGTGGTCGAATCCTTTCAACATTAATTGAAAGTTTATAGGAACGACAGAAGAAATTGCACAAAAACAATTTCTTCTAATTAATTATTTAATTATTTTTACATGTACAAACCTTACAGGGAATATATATATATATATTATACATTTGTATTAGTTTAATTTATTATATTAATATTAATTCATCATAATTACATATAAATTAGTTTAACACGTTCGTCACCATGGCACCGTATAGGCACCGTGCGAAGTCATGGTAGGGGAAGCCGAAATGGACACTAGCGCACGCAGTGGATAACTTTGGCAGTAAAAGACGGTGTTTTTTATTTTCGTGTTCACAAAACATACGTGTGACAATTAATTTTATGATTATTTTATAAAATATATAATAGAGTTTTCCTTTTTAGAAAATAAAATATATATATATAGTTGTTGTCATTGATAACACGTTGGCGAGTAAACAAACGTGTCGGATGCAGAAGAAAATGTACGCATGAATTAGTCCTGTCCTGGACGTTCTCGTGAGTTCCTTGAATCAATGGATTTAAATGGATAGAAACGATGGTGTGTCGGTTATTGTGCACTAGTTTCATAAACAGGAGTGCAATGGAAGACCCTGAACCAGAATATGATGAAACATTCAAAAAAGAGTCAAAATTTCTAACAAAAATTATTTCAATTATAATAACGTAGTATAATATTGGGACCTATGGCAGTAGCGTGGTGTAGCAATTCGACCTATCTACTCTAATTTTGAATTTAGCCTCCACATAGCGTATTCAAGTGCTAGAGATCCCACGTGGCGTAGCAATTCGATCTATCTACACTAATTTTGAATTTAGCCACCAGATAGCGTATTCAAGTGCTAGAGATCCCAATACAATCTGATTAGCATGATTTTCAATTGAAATTGAATGAATAAATACAATTAAAATTAAAAAGTAAAAAAGTATAAACAATTTGTTAGCAACTTGTCAAATGAGTTCGTATTTCAATGTTGGTATTATGAAAATAAAATTGAACGTAGTATTATTAATAAATTTTTTTTATATCATAATATATAAAAAATTTGACACGTTTGATTTCAAATCAAATTTGAATGAACAAATACAATTAAAATTAAAAAGTAAAAAAAAGTATAAACAATTTGTTAGCAACTTATCGAACAAGTTCGTATTTCAATAATAG